CCCCCGCGGGGCGCTGTTTCTCTGCAGACCCCGGGCGGGCCGAGGGGGCGAAGCTGCGCGCCGCGCCGTGCTTCCGCTTCCGTCGGCGCTGGTTTGCAGCCCGGGACCGGCCGGTGTCCCCACCTCCTGTGGAGGCGAGGCGGTCCCACAGACGCACTCTGTTTTGTTTCTGTGTTGGAGGCGGGGCCTTCCCACCGGCCGACATCCCAGCCCTTTTCTTTTTCTTTTTTGTTTTGAGACGGTGGTTTCGGTCACTTGCTCATCACTGACGCAGTATCTGACACTGCACGGAGACGTTTATTTGGCCGCTGGTCCAAGGCAGGACAGCCTGGCCTGGGGGCAGGGCATGGCCACAGGAAGCAGAGAGGATGGATGTGCACCCTTCTCACCAGACCCCACCGCTGTAAGCCCCCATCCAGTGACCTTTCCAAAGCCCCGCCTGTGAACTCGGGAGGCTTGGGGGACACTTAGATATAAAACGTACGAAATGGCTAAACTGCCCAGCAGTCCTCCTGCTTCAGCCTCCCACAGTTTGAAGGTTACAGCAGCGCACGTCTGCTCAGCCCAGATGACTTTCAAGGTCCCTCCTGCCGGACATGATGGCACATGCCTGTTGATCCAGCATTTAGAAGGCTGAGGCAGGAGGATCACTGAGTTTGAGATTGGCCTGGGCTACATAATGAGTTCAAGGCCAGCCTGAACTACACAATGAGACTCTGTCTGAAAAAACACAACCAAAAAAAGTCCCTCCAGCTGTGAAGGCAAATTCTTTCGGGTCCTGGAAAATCAAATTTTAATTTCTGAGTTTAGAGCTGAGCCCCGCGCCATTGGTCCACTGGAGGGCAGCAACTCCCTGCTCTCGGGTCTGCGGCCTCCGGAGGGAGGCGCCGCAGGCAGAGGGGGTCAGGCGGCTCCTCCGCTTCCCCTGGAGAGCAAACTGCTCTGTAGTCGACTTGCAGCGTCCGGGCGTCCGTCCACAGCAGCCTGTGTCTGCCCGCCCTTTGCCTACGAGGAGCCGGCTTCCCCGAGTGTGGCCCTGGGGATCGCTGACGGACGAGCCCCTGTATTTCAGGCCGGAGGGGAGCTCTGCGGTGGAGCCCTCGTGGAAGGGCTGCTAAGCTGGGGGCCAGCGTCACGCAGGCCTGTTGTCTGGCCGCGTGATGACAGAGTCCCCCGGTGCCTTTGGCCTGGCTCTGACAGCCTGGCCCTGATTACCAGACCGGTGATTGTGCCCCAGCCCGGTGAGTTCGGGGTAGACTGGGAGAAGTACAGGAGGGAGACGACGGAGTCATGACTTTAAAACCCTGTTTCTCCAGAAAACTGCAGCCTCGGGGCCCCATGGAAAGTCTTCCAGCCCTCGCCTGTTCCTCCCTTCCGGCCCATGCAGTCGGCCGAGCCTTCCTCTGGGGCTGTGGGTTCACAAAAGGGCCATTCCTCCATCCCCTGCCTCTGAGTCCCGAGTGCGAGAGACAGCTGAGGCAGGAAGAAATACCACAGGCAGAGAACACATCGCACCATGGCTGCAGGCGCGTCTGTGGGAGGCCAGGCCTCAGATAAGACAGAATGAGCAGTCCTGCTCGCCTCCCAGGGATAGGAAATACCCTGTAACTGGAAGCACATGGCCCAGTGAAGTCTGGCCACACATCAGTCACCCCTGTGGGGGCCCAGGACCTCCCGACCCGCCCCTTCCTAAAAAGGTCCTGTTTCCACCCTTGCTAGGTGACCTGCTTCCCCATTGGACCAACGTTACCCAAGTGACTGTACTTGTAATCTTACTGACTGATCATACTTTTTGTTTGTTTGTTTTGTTTTGTTTTAAAACAGGTCTCCCTGTGCAGGTCAGGCTGGCCTTGAACTCACTGTGGAGCCTACGCTGGTCTCAAACTCAAGGCAATCTTCCTGCCTCAGCCTCCTGAGTGCTGGGATTACAGCTATGTGCCACCATGCCTGGTAAGTAATTCAAAACTCTGGATGTCTGGATTTCAGGATTTCAGAAACCAGTGGATTTTTTTTAACGCTGAGCGTCTGCACTGGATTAATCTTACTGTTTGTAGTTTAAACTATCATGTGTTGTTATCTTGGTATGGTAAAAAAAAAATTCAACCAGGTCTGATAGCACACACCTGTAATCTTTGTACTTGGGTGGTTGAGGCAGGAGGATCTCTGGGAGTTCAAGGCCAGTATGGAATACATAGCTGAGATCATGTTTCAAAAACCCCTAACCAAATAAAGACCCCTGCCAGGCGTGTGGTACATGCCTACAATCCCAGCACTCGGGAGGCTGAGGCAGGAGGATCGTTGCAAGTTCGAGACCAGCCTGGGCTACAAAGTGAGCTCAAGGCCAGCCTGAACTACATAGCAAGACCCTGTCTCAAAAATACAAAAAACAAAACAAAAAACAACCCAAAGATCTGAACTGAAAAAGTAGAGGACACACAGTTTCAGAACATATCACAATGACAGTAAGTTCTTGGGCCTGACGTGGAGGTGCACGCCTGCAATCCCAGCCACTTGAGAGGCGGAGGCAGAAAGAGGATGTGTTCAGAGTCAGCCGGCGCAACTTAGCCAGACCCTGCGTGAAAAATAAGAAGGGCTGTGGATGTGGCCCCATGCTGCCTGTGTTCTGTCCTCAGTGTTCCCCTAAGAGGAGGAGAGAGGGGCAGAGGCAGAGGCATCTCCTGCCCACGCCTGGTTCCCCTCAGGAAACCACGAAGGGCGAACACATCGCCGCGTCTCCAGCCGGGCTGAGAACAGTGCAGGTGGAAAAGCGTGTCCTTCAGAGCTGGACTTCAGACAACTGTTGTTTTCCAGTTGGCAGAACATTCTGGAGACCCGAAATGCACTAAAAGTAGAACCGAAAATAAAAAGAGGAAACGCTTCCCTCTCTGGACGCAAACACTGTGGGCTAGAAGACGAGGCTGAGGAGCCCCTGCTCTCACGCGCAGCGGGGCAGGGCGGGGCCCCGTGCGCAGGGAGAAGGTGGCGTGAGGGCTCCTTGAGCTCCCTTAGACACTACCAAGACAGCTTTGACCTCGGCAGTCAGTGAGGCAGCAGTGAGCAGGGCGAAGGCAGCTAAGCTCCAGCAATTAGGAGACAGAAACGGCTCAAGACCCGGAAGTTCCTAAGCAGCTTGATTTACAGAGGACTGCCCGCTTCCCCTTCACTTAATCCTTCCGTCTCAGCTCCCGGTCCAGAGGCCACTACCCATAGTGCTACCCTCCACCAAGGACAGGGAAGGTCACATGGCCCGAGGAAATCCAGGGTGAGGGCGACAGACAAGCCAGGGAGCCAGTCAGATTCCAGGAGCCCACGTGGGCCCAGGACCTCGTGAAAGGTGCTACAGACAAGAGCTCCCGAGTTACCCGCTCTGGAATACTCCCTCCTCGGGCAGAGCAGCTGTCCTCTGCATCTGTCCCCCTTCTTCCCCTTTCCCCACCTTCAGATACATTGTCTTCTTTTATTTTAAACCCCTTCCTTTGTTTTTGACCAACCCTGGGTTTAGCACGCCGGAGCTGTGTGTCCCGCAGAGCAGTGGTGTGTGTCCAGCCCGTGTGGCACAGCTGGCATAGTGAGGGGCACCCAGCCCTCCTTGGACCCCTGACAGCCCAGCGGGGTAGGGGGCAGGGGGAGTCATGATGACACTGAGCCAAAGCAAGAGACCAGAAATCTTTTTTTCCGGTACCGGGAATCGAACTCACGACCTTGCGCTTGCCAGGCAGGCGCTGTGCCGCTGAGCTACATCCCCAGCCCCGAGACCGGAAATCTTGCTGTTATTCACTGAGTGCTTCTGGCCGGCTGCCTCATCCCAGGCTGTGCTTTGAAGGCCTCCGTACGGTTTTCAGTGACATCCATTCTGAAAGTGCTAGAAATCCTTTGTAAACGGCCTCACAGTTCTGAAAAGCCCAGTGCTACTGCAGCAGTCTCTGAGTTTTGCTTTATCTGTCTCCCTAAGACAAAAATCTACTTAAAAAGCAAAAACTCCAGGCTTTGCTGGATGCTGAAGTCTGCTGAGCCAGGGCAGCTTCATCCCTGAGGGTACTCCAGAGTCCTGAGCACCAGGCTCTGTCCCAGGCAGGGCCACCAGTCCTCAGGGGAGGTGTTGGCGCTCCATGGGCCGGGCCTGGCAGGAGGGAGCAGGGTCCTGGGGCCACAGCCTTGCGGGGACATGGGGACCCCGTCCTTCTCTGCCTTGAGGTGGGCAGCTCCGCCTCACAAAGCCTGGAAGCTGTGGAGCCACTGGACCCTGTGTGGTGCGTCCCAAACCACTGATACAGGCATGGTGGAGGACCTCCAAATATTCCAAATTATATAAGGGAAATATAACTCCCGACCTACTAGTCTGCTGGGTGTCCAGTCCACTGAGTTCATGTTCTCTAAAATCAAAGAATGAATTCTAGGAACAGCAGAGGTTAAGAGCAGACAATATTTATTAAGGGAAAGAAAGCTTCTGTGTAAGAGACTGGGGGCCCCAGGGGGGTTGCTGGGGACCCCACTTCTCAAAGGAGTTTCATAAAGCAAAACCATGAGATGAGGCGGATTTAAGGTGGGACAAAACCATAATCAACTAACAAGATTACAAATAGAGTTGCTTGGGTAACACTGACCCCATGGGAAATCACAAGGTGGGCGTGAGGTGGGATAAAAATACAGTCAACCAATAAGATTATGAGTATAAGCACTTAGGTAATAGTGATTAAACGGGGAAGAAAGTCACATCGCAAGTGGACAGTGGACCCTCAAGTTACGACCCGCCTCACATAGGAACAACCTGGGTTACGAGAGGAGTTTTAGGTTTAACCTACGACCAAAGTCTTGAGTTACGACTCGAATGCCGCCGCTTGTGCGATTGTAAACAAAGACTGTCGATGCCAGAACAGCGTATGTGAGTGTCAGTCTGGGCCCACGTGCCTGATGTTCTCACGGAGGGGGCCTCTCCTTCCATGCCATAGCCGTCTTCCCCTTCATCCTCCTTCCTGCAAGCCAGAGATGTCAGCCTGATCGGTGAGTAGGACACTGTCATTTCTGGTAAACTAGGCACATTTTGTAACTTTTTCGTGAATATACTAGGAAAATTATTGGTGTTTCTCGTAACAAAAACCTTTTAGGTAATGCTTTGGGAGGTTTGCAGTGCATTATGGGTATTTCCATTATTTATTATGGGAGAAATAGTCTTGACTCACAGCCAGCTTGAGTTACAACCAGCCCTCGTGAACACATTGACTTCCTACGTCAAGGGTGCAGTCCACACGGGGGGAACAGGGATCTCCTGGCAGGGAGGTTGTGGTCCTCCACCCGGGGTGATCCGTGCAGTTTACAGTGTCATGCTGTGCCCGCCTGGGGGAAGTATGTGGCTGCAGTCATTCTACCTTGTGTCTGGAGGCCCGGCCTCTAACAAATGCACCTCCGCCCACAGTGATAACTAGCCTCGTCTTCTGCGCTGACACTAGAGGGCCTAGCCCTGTCCCACTGCCTGTGACATTCCACCAGCCTTAGCCGTCTACAACACCCTGAGCCAGTCACGCTTTCGTCACCTCCGGGCTTAGTCACGGTGACCAAGAGGCTGCACTTGCCCTCCCCGGCCTCCTCTTCGCCTTTCCTTCAACAAGTCGGGTAGAAGTCACGATGTCTCTCATACCTTGCTTTCCTCTAGTGCAGGTGAAGTCTAAAACACTGTTTATGTTTAAATTTCCAGCCAGGCATGGTGGAGCATGTCTGTAATCCCAGCACTCAGGAGGCTGAGGCGGGAGGATCCTTGTGAGTTCAAGACCAGCCTGGGCTACGAAGTGCGCGCAAGGCCAGCCTGAACTGCGCAGCGAGACCCTGTCTCAAAAAGACAATAAATAAATAAATAAATTTCCAGTGTAATTCAGGCGCACAGTTCGAGCTCTGAGGTACGTGAAGTCCAGGGGGCCTCTAGGATGTCCGCCCCGGCCACATTCACCTTCCCGCAGGGAGCAGCCTAGACTCAGGTGAAAAACCTGCGAACACAGCTTCCGAGACCCTGGACACCGGGCAGCAGAGCACAGAGCTCCCCTGGGGAGGCCAGGACAGCAGGGGTCACGGAGTCTGGAGCGCGAGACGCACTCAGAGGGGCAGAGCTCCGCCTGAACACGGCTGGGACACGGAGGCCCATCTGATGGTGCACGTGGAGACCCCTGGCAGATGTGGGCAGGCCCCGCGCCTTGCCACCCACCAGCCGTTGGGCGTGGCTGTCCCCAGCGTGGAGTGCGGGACCACGTCCACAGTCAGGAGTTTCCCTAGCTCTGTGGTGCTGGGCTGGGATCCTAGGTGTCCCCAAAGGCCTGGCCCGGGTTGTTTTGTTTGGCTTTTTCTTGATCCTTTGTTCTTCTTTTCATATGAGTGTGAACATTGTTTCTAGTTTTTCTGTTGTTCTGCTCTGTTCTTGTTTTTTTTTGTGGGGGGGGCGTTCTTTTTGAGACAGGGTCTCACTATGCACTTCAGGCTGGCCTTGAGGTCACTTTGTAACCCAGGCTGGTCTTGAACTCGAAACAATCCTCCTGCCTCAGCCTCCCCAGTGCTGGGATTACAAGTGTGCACCACTGTGCCCGGCTAGGAGGTTGTTTACTGCATACAATTTTCTAGTTTGTTTTAGATTTTGTTATTAACTGCAAATCTAGTTTATATGGTTAAAGGTGGTAAATTAATAGTTACCGTAGTTTGTCATTTTCTAGGGTTTCATGCTCTTGTTATTGCTGATTGTACCACATATAGCCAAAGTGACATCATTGTTCTAATCTAATAGTTGTTCTTCCTGGTATGCCAAGACTAGACTGCCTAAGGGTCATAAAAAATATAGGTCAGTGCCAAAGAACCAGGGGCTGGGCCAAGTAGGCAGCAACTTCTCACTTCCAATAAATTGAAGACGTAGGATCTTGCAACAGATTCAAATCCCAAGCCGGGTGTTGTGGCACATGCCTGTAATTCCAGCACATGGGAGGCTGGGGCAGGAGGATCGTCGAGTTCGAGACCAACCTAGGCTACAAAGTGAGTTCAAGGCCAGTTTGAACTGCATAGTGAGACCCTGTCTTAAAACAAACAAACAAATCCCAAAAGCCAGCTACACTTGGAAGACACTTCTGAGCAGTCATTTCCTAAGGGTTCCAAATAGTAGCAAAAAAGCTACTTGCGGTAAGCAATTTAGAAGCATGAGCCCAGGAATTAAACTTAAAAAAAATAGAAAGGAGAAGGCACCTAAACAAGATGCAACCCCAGACTTCCAGCTCTCCACAGGCAACCTAGGGGCACTGAGGTGGACCGATGCCAAAGCCATCCGCCTGGACTCTCTGAAGTAATAACAGTGCAAGAAACAAAGCAGGTGAATGAGGCTCTAGAAAAGAATCAAATCAGAAGTAATTTTTCAGTGACTCTAAAGCAGATACAGGTTTAAAAAAAAAAAAAAGGCACTTAGGAAGATGTTGGAAACCATAAACGCCCAACATAGGAAAGAAATGAAATTCATGAAGCAAGTTCAAACATATCCAGGAGACTGAAAATTCCATCAAAAATATATGCAGCAAAAAATGTATATATATATATGTGCAGCAGAATCAGCCAGTGTGAGGACAGAATCTCAGATATGGAAAACAGGATTGTGGTTAGTGATCATAAAAAGACAGATTTCTCAAAAATAGCAAGGGAGTCGGGCATGGTGGCACACGCCTGTAATCCCAGCGTTCAGGAAGCTGAGGCAGGAGGATTGTCGTGAGTTCGAGGCCAGCCTGGGCTACAAAGTGAGCT